TCTAAAGAAAATTATAATAATAAATAGTATTATTTACTTTTCTAAGGTTATTATAGATAATAATATAGCTCTTTTTAAAGTAATAGAACTTTTTACTTAAAAATAGGGTTTCTATTTAGAGATAGTAGCTTCTTACTCTTATTAGTAGAATAGAGAAGTAGAAAGCTTTAATAGAGCTATATAATAAAAAGTATAAGTAATATATATAGAAGCTAGCTTTCTTAAGTCTTTTTAGCTTTAATTAATAAAGACTTCTATAGAAGTTAGAAATCTACTATTTAATAATAAAGGTAATATTAGTCCTTATAAGAAACTAGTAAATACCTTTAATATATCTCTTACTATAAGAAAACTATATATATATTATCTTTACTACTAAAGCTACTAAGTTTATATCTATATTTACTTAGATAGCTATCTATATATAAAAAAATAGAAGATAAAGCTTAAAGCTAAACTTAGAAGATTTATAGGATATAATAGCCTTTATAGTAATATCTTCTATATTCTTATTAAAAGGACTAATAGTATTTAGTAGGTAAGAGATATAATATTTAAAGAAGATAAAAGAGAGCTCCCCTTAATTAAATTTAACGATTTATAGCTAAGAGAAGAGGTTAAGCTAGAAACTTATAAGTATAGTAATAAACTACTAACTATAACTTATAAAGCTAAGTCTTAGCTTTATAATTTAAATATAAAGTTATACTATTATATTTATTCTACTAAATAAGAATAACTATAAAAGGAGGTAGATAATTTATACTTAAAAGATACCTAGGAATTAGAGGGTAATAATAAATAAGAATAGGAAGATAAGCCTCCTTAAGAATAAAAAGAAGTTAGTAAGAAGGGGGGTAATTTACTAACCTTAGATCTAAAACTATATATACTAATATATAATATTAGTACTATAAATATATAGGTATAATTAATACTAAAAGAAGATTTTTTTCTATATTAATATTCTCTTATTACTCCTTTAAGTTAGAGTTCTCTTACTATCTCTTATTAGTAATAAAGTTCCCCTACTATATTATTATAGCTAAGATCCCTTATTATTTCCCCCTAAATACCTTAACTAATATAAGAAAGATTAAGGGGAAGACTAAGGAGTAGTAATAGAAGCTCTACTCTTATAAGATCACTAAAAGCAGCTACTTTTTTTTTAAGTTAAATAACCTAAATACTTAGAACTTAGGTACTATATAATATAAAGAAGTTTAATAGAGAATTTAGTAAGATAGAGGCTATAGAGATTAACCTAATTAATAATAAAATAGACTAAGAACTAATTATTTTTACTTTTTTAGTATTTAACTTATTATAAGTTTTTAGTTTAGAGATTTACTTATTTATAACTTTTAGGAAGTAGGAGGTAATAGAAGAAAGACCTCTAAAGTTAGCTATCTTTAATACTATAAAGACTTAAGTTAATAGCTTATAAGGGATAGATTACTAGTAGTTTAAAAAGCTCTTAAATAGCTTTAAATATCTCTTAAGTAAATAGGTATATAATAAGAAAGTTATTATAAATAGAAGACTTAATAAAATTAAAGTAAGATAGGTTATCTATAGTAACTTTTAAAATAAGGATAATAAGATAGTTTATACTACTATTACTAATCTTATTATTCTATAAGTCTTTTTACTAATTATAGTACTTAAAGATCTAAAACTTTACTAAGTTAATATAGTTATAGCCTTCCTAAATACCTTTATAGGAGATTAAGATATCTTTATTACCTAACCTTATAGATTTAATAATAGATCTAGCTAGTTCTATAAATTAAAAAGAGCTCTCTATAAACTAAGAGAATCTCCTCTTCTCTAGTATAAGCAAATTATTACTATCTTTAAATAATTAGAGTTCTATTTATTACTAAAAGAACCCTATATTCTTATTAATAAGGATAGTATTATAATATTACTTTATATTAATAATATACTTATTATAGTACTTAATATTAAGTAAGTTAATAACTTTAAAAATAACTTATATAACTTCTTCTAGATTAAGGATTTAAGTAAAATATAATAATTCCTTAGGTTTAAGATTATTTACTACTATAAGACAAAATAACTCTAAATCTTATAAGCTAAATATATTAATAATATATTAATAGAGAAAGGTATTACTAAATATAACTAAATACCTTACTACTTTAGTAATATTTAGCTACTAAAGATTATAGAATAATATAAAACGCTTACTAAGATATATAAATATTAAAGCGATCTAAGTAAGTTATAGTAAATTATAAATAGTATATAACTAGATATTATAATACTTATAGGTAGGGCTACTAGAGATTAATAATATACCTCTAAAAAGTATAATAAACTATTAAGATTAATATAGAGATATCTCTATAGCTTATAATAATTAGTACTCTACTTTAGTAGTCTAAAATACTTTATTAATAACCTTAAATTATTAGCATTCTATAACACTAGTTAGTCTAATTATAAAAAAATAAATAAGTTAATAGCTAGTTATATAGTTATATATAGAGGAGTACTAATTACTTAGAAATTAATACTATAATTATTTATAGCTATATTAACTTATAAAGCTAAGTAGATAAATTTAATACTTAGAAGAAAAGCTCTATTATATATTATAGATCTCTTTAAAAAGATAAATATCTCTATTTAATTACCCCTCTAGGTATATATAGATTCTATAAATACCCTTAATAATTATCTATTAAGTAAATAGTTACTTAAACTATGCTATATTAAGATTAAGTATTACTAAATTATTAATAATATTAGTAATAAGGATTTTAAGATTAACTATATCTTAATTTATAAGATAATTACTAATAGCTTTACTAAACTACTAATAGTAGAGAAGTATTATAACTTTATTAGAATATTAGGTTTATCTAAACTACTTATAACTAATAATAAGTCCTAATCTAAAGATAATATCTTAAGACTTAATCTTAATTAAGTTCCTTCTATTTATTTATTTCTTTTATATATAATAACTTTATTCCTTTATATCTCACTAACTAATTAACTTTTATAGTTAGACTTTATATTATTTTAATTACCTTAATTCGCTCTATTTAATAGTTAAATTACTAACTATAAAAGTCTTTTATATAAGAAGTTATTTAATAATAAAAACTTAAAAGGTAATTAAAGACTTTAACTTTACTAAGTTATAAGTTTATTACTAAATTAGATATCTTAGTTAGTATTTCCTTAAGTTATAACTATACTAAGTTTAACTAATAAAAATTAATTAACTTTAGACTTAGATAAAATTAATATAAGTTTAAAATTTAAAAGAGCAAAAGATTAATTAACTAAGTTTTAAAAGTATTATAAAAAGATTAATTTTTAAGGTAATATTAATTAAGAACTATTATATTTAATACTTAACTTAATATAATTAATAAATTAGAGGAGAGGTATTATAAAACTAATTAATAACCTAAAGATTACTATTTTTAGAGAGAGAGAGCTACTTAGAATATAAGATCTAAAATTAAACTAAAGAAAATAGTTTTTAGACTTATCTAAGTTAAAAGCTAACTTTATAAAGGGGAATTAAATAGTAAACCTCTAAATTATTAATTTAGAAGTTTAATTAAGTATTAAAAATAGAAGGTAATACTAACTATACTAAATAGCTATTTAATTATCCTTATAGAGATAACCTAAGTAGTAATACTAATATTAATTAGCTATATAAAAGCTAGAGGGGGTTAAGAAGTATTTTAGAATTAAGATAAAATAATAATAGTAATATAGAAAAGTAGGAATAATATATAGAAGTAAGAATAATATAAAACTAATATATAATTAATTAGATTACTACTTTAAGATAGGAATAGCTTTAATTATAGTGCTAGAGGCGTTAGCTAAAAAGGGGGTATAAGACAGTAGTTAGCTAGGCTTAGGCCTGAGGCCTAAAACCTAGCCTAAATCCCGCCTTTACGTAAGGGGTTAGCCACACCACTTTGTAGCTAGTTGCGCCTAGCGCTCATAGCTAGATTAATCAAGCCACATCACGCACTATCAGACAACCTCGCCAACAAATTGGGCAAATATTGAACGAATTGGCTGCTCAGCTCGGCTTGGCCACCAACGGAAAGAGACCTCGGTTGAGGGGTTCGTGAACAGGGGCGTCCTCGGGGAGAGGAGATTGGAGGCTTCAAAGGCGGCAATGTGGCTGGTGGCCCAAAATGGCAAGGCGGCTCGCTGGCTGCCTGTTCCGCCAACTGCCACTGCCTGTGATGTTCGTCCTGTGGAGTGGAGCAGATAAGATAAGGTTAAGACCGGGCCAGGCAGGCGGCTCTCCAGTGTCCTGCTCGGATATCTTTTTCTCCGCATTCCGCCCAGGCTCCCGCTTTCACGGTCAGGGCAGCTGTCAAATCAGAAGGGCCATAGCCCCCGGAATAGTGGAGAACGTGCTCCTGGGCAGCGAAGCTCTTCAGCGCCGAGACGGCAGGCCATTGGCGGCCAGCAGCAGCAGCCGGTGTCCCCCTGGCAGCGACGTCCAGTGGGAGCGGGACCTGGATGAGGTCAGTGCCTGGCCCACATCAGCTTCCACACCTTCCATGCTGCTTCACTGCTGTCTATCTGTCCAGGGGAATCGCCATCACCAGCACCACCAACCTGCATTCCCTAGCCTGCCTGCCTTCGTCATCACGAAACGACGCTCAACACCACAGCGACACCGACTGCCTCCTTGTTTTCGACCACACACGACACCCGCGATCCTGCATCACATTGGCACCAACAGCCCTCTCCGCGCACCCGCACTACCGCCGACACAGTCACTTCCGACGTACCTCGCCTTGAACCTCCGCCGATCCGATCCTCCTGCTCAGCTTCGACCCCGGCACCTCCGTGCCTCCGACCCGCCGTCAACCCGATCGCCATCCGCTCTATCTCGTCCTCTTCCTCTCCTCCTCCCCTCTTGCAATCCTGGCTTCCCGGCCGGGTGAGCTGGTCGAGAACGTCCAGCGCCAGTCGAATGAATGCAACCCCTAAATCCATTCCTCGCTGCCTTCTTCCGAAGCTCCCTGCCGTCACAGTGCACGCCGGTCCATCACCACATCCTCCTGGTCCCGACCACCGATGTGCTCCTCACCTCGCGCGAGTCCGAGAGTGGCTCGACCTTTCACGAGGTCATCACCTCCGAGGAGTTCCTAGCTAGCCACGTCTTGCGCATACCCGCCTCCAACACCGCCGCCGCCGCCGGTGGCAAGGATGTTGCACAAAACCTACGGGAGCTGAGGGGGAAGGCGAAGCAGTACCAGACCATCAACGGCCGCACAGTCGTCATTAAGGATACGCACGTCTACAGTAATAAGGGTGCGCCCATCCTGCTGACCAAACAGCCCATCAAAGACATCAGCTGACGTTTGCGACTTAGGCTTCAAGTCCCTTGCCCAGGCTCAACTGCTCAACGACGCGACATGGTATCCCGACCTGCTCGAGCCCCGCCAATGGCTGATATACTACATCACCCGACCCCTCGTCGGAGTATGGGACGAGATCAAGATTGTGCCGGCTGTGCTGATCGAGGGCATTGCGAGAATACAGGCTCTCGAGCGGAGTCGATCGGCAGCTATGGAAGGCGAGGGCGCCATGCTGCCCCGCAAGAAGGACATCAAGAGCTTCCACGACCTGCTGAATCACTTCCCGATCATTGCGCGACAAATGCAGCCCGGTTTGGAGAAGCTGTTCCGCGAGTTTACGACCGTCTTCGAGCGACCGCTGCCGCCGCCCCCCTCGGCGATGCGCATACCCGACCCCGAGCCCGAGGGGCCAATTGCGACCGCCATGAAAAATGCGCGCTCCAATAGCATGAACGCCGCCAGAAGACCCAACAGCATACCTAATGGGCTGCCAGTTGCGGAGAACTTCTACGCAGAGGACGATGAGGACGTTATGAGGGCTTCTCTTGAGACTGCGGTGACGGCGGCCATTGATCTGTTCCAAGGGGTCGACAAGCAACAGCTTTCAATGCTCGGTGCGACGACGGATTTGACTGGACCTCGGGTTGAGAGGCTCATCGAACGATACGTCACCGAAAACGTGCACCACCTCCTGTTCCCACGCCTCAGCGCAATGAAGCGGCCGTATGATCTCGAATTGGAGGCCAAGATCCGGCAGATGGAGTTCATCGATTTGTCGCAGCTGGGCATTGTCATTGAAGGCGGCTGGCGCGGGAAGCACGAGCTGACGATACAACTCGGTCTTGCCGTGGAGGAGTTCAAAAAGATGGCTCTCGCCCTGAGCCCACAAGAGATGCTTGACCTGCTGCTGTCGACCATCAAGGCCGTCACCCATCTGACGGACCTCTCCCGGGCGCAAGCGGCTTCTTCATCAGAAAAGCCTACCCTAACTGTCAATGCTGACACTCTCGTGTCGTTACTCCTGTTTGTGGTTATCCGAGCTCAAGTCAGGCATTTGCATGCGCGTCTCATCTACATTCGCCAATTCATCTTCATTGACGACGTCGACAATGGCGAAATGGGGTACGCCCTGAGCACGTTCGAAGCCGTCTTGGCCTACCTCGCTCTCGATTCATCGGGACTGAGAAGAGCCAGCAAGCGAAACAAGTCGCTTTGGGATGCCGTGTGCAACGGCACGATGGATGGAGTCAAACGGATCATGGAGCCGGACTCGAATGCGATTGTCGACGATGATATTTATGACTCGCCAGTGTCAAGTCGCCGGCCGTCAGGCACGTGGAGCTACACGAATGGTTCTGCGTCCAGGCGATCTTCCACGGCGGCTACAGCATCCGATCGCTTCTCCTCTGGCTCCGGCCTGAGCCACGTATTCCCGTTCCAAGTCGAGGACAGCGATACAGACCTTGACTTCCCCCTTCCTCCTGCGCCACGAAAAGTGAAGCGAGTAGCCATGGACACAAGAAGCATGTCCAGCGGATCCGAGATTTCTTACCACTCAAGAGCGACAAGTAATGGGACTATCGGCAGCGTGCTAGAAGGCGATATCTCCATTGATCGCTTATCGCAGACACACAATTCTTTCGGCGAGTCACTTCTCATGATGGCTGTGCAAAACGAGAGGCCCGAAATTCTCAAATACCTTCTGTCGCTAGACGAATACTACCCGCCAAAGATGATTCTCGACGACATCAACAACGAAGATACGACACTACTAAGCGCCGCTGTTCAACTAGGTCACGCGGAGATGATTAACACCCTCCTCAACTTTGTCATGGCGGCTGCGGCAAAAGAGCGCCTCAGGGAATACCTCGCGCAACAGGACATTTGGGGGCGCAGCTGCGCGCATTACTTGTTCCACGCGCCGTTCCTCATATCTCGCATAGGGAAATTAGTTCCCTGGCGGCAAAAAGACAAGAACGGCCAAACGCCACTTTTTGCGTTGTGTCGCTCCTATGACCATGTGCATTACCATGAAATGGTGGATGCCGGCCTTGACGCGGCCACGGAAGCCCAGGGTGACGGGCTTCCGCTCCACATTGACAACCATGTGGATGGCAAGGGGAATACGCTGCTTCACATTGTGAACGATCCCCATCTCGCAGCCAGGGTTCTTCAGCAATGCGATGTTGACGTCAATGCAACCAATGAAAAGAAGTTTACGCCATTGATGGTAGCCAGCAAATATGGCCGGCTGGACATGGTGAGGACGCTGTATGTGGATGCACGAGTCGACGTTGCAGCCCGAGAGCTCCGAAGCCTGACGGCCGTCGAGCTGGCCAAAGACGACGACATTCGAAATAAGATTGACGACTTGGCACTGTTTAGCATGCCCCCTGCGGCGGATGCCCGTATCACCGGTGTCGTAAGGGCCTTTTTTGTTGAAGATGCGACCATTCGCTTGGTCTTGAAATCGGCCGCCCCCGCCGACCACATGAGCTACACTGTCACTACTAGCCGCCGCAACCTGTCCGATTTCGAGCATCTCGGCAATCTTCTCGCGCTTGAGAACCCGGCGTCGTGGATACCCGCCGTAGCCGGCGTGCGGTCGCCGTTCCAGATCCCGTCGAAGCCGTCAAGAGCAGTCTTGCGGGACATCCAGACTAGGACCGACTGGTTCCTCAAGATCATGCTCCAGCACCCCACATTCGCTACGCACGAGATGCTGTGGGAGTTCTTCCTCGTACCCGATATCCAGCTGGGTATGATGGAGCAGAGAAGCAATCTGAAGGCGGAAACACGAGCTGAGAAGGTGCGGGAAGAGTACGAGCCTGTGAAGGATGTGCGGGAGGTCGAACAGTTTGTCGACCACGCCAGAGAGATGGTGCGGAGCGTCAACTATTCCACCAAGAGCGTGGCCAGAAGAGTCAACGCCATCGGGATCGTTGCATCAGGTAAGCCTCGCCTCGTCAATTGAATGTTCACCTGCTAACGCTTCCAGACCTTCATGATGCAGCAGCTCTTCTGCACCGCGCCGTATCAACGCTGCCGTTCCTGCCACTGGCATACACCACCGCATTGGAATCATACGTACGCACCGTCACGCCGATGCAATCGAACCCGTACGCCATCTTCCACTCCACATTTCTCGCATCGCAATCGACGATCCAGGGCCTCCTGTCAGCGCTGGCGCGGCCACCGGCGCTCATTACACAAATCTCGACCGCCCGCAAGGCAGTGGAGCGAAACTATAACTCGCTCAACCGATCGACACGGTGGCCACTCGGACTACTGGACGACACGCGACAACGACTCAACGAGGAGCGCGAGGAGAAGGCGCGACAGTCACAGGAGCAAGTAGACGATCTCGGTCGAGAGCTCCGGTACCACCAGCAAGTAGTGGCCGGGGAACTTGCCGGATGGCAGGACCTGCACGAGAAGATGGGGCGACGGGCGATCAAGGAATTCGCCAAGGGGATGGTCATCCAAGAAAGACTCCGGCTCGACGGGATGATGAGGGCTCTGCGCCGGCTGAGGGAAGGCAAGGCGGAACTTGCGACAATGGCGGAGGTTGTTTCAGGGCAGTCGAGTATGAGTCAATCGACGCACGACGGCATGGGGATGGGAAGGATGGTGGATGCGGGCGAGGGAGCCAGCAGCGCGGGTGCAGCAGCAGCAGCAGCAGCAGCATCAGCCGGCACCAGCAATGGAGTTGGCAGCAGTAGCAGCAGGCTGGGAGCGGGCGACGAGGCGGTGGCGAATGCAGTGGCAGGATTTTAGCCTCGCCCCCGGTTCCATGTTCGGCTGTCTGCTTTGGTATGGTCTGCGGGCTGCCTGGGATGATGTGCATACACGTCGGTCGTTGGAGCAAACCTCAACACCAAGAGCGACGCGTGGTATGGGAAATGCGACGCGTCTGGGGGCATCGGGTGGCTGTGACTGGGTGACGGGTGGAACGGATGACCACCTCGGGACTACGTTGCAGCAGCAGCAGAAGCAACACTTGGAGAAAGACACGGCCGGCGCTGGGTGTGTAGGTGTGTGTGGGATGAATGGGGCCACCTCACCTCACCTTGCATGAGACAAGACCACACACTTCCCGAGTTTTCCCATCAAACACTCGAAACGAAACTTTTTTTCTCTTGCGTCTCTCTCGATGTAGCAAGTAGACCACTTTTTCGATTCTGTCTTGTGCGTGTGTCCTCATTTTTTCTTTCCCTCTCTCCTTTATGATGGATACCCTTCTGGCGTCCTTGGCGTGGGTTTCAACTAGACGGTGGGTTCGGCGGACGAGGGGTGCCCGTTTTCCTGGGACATACAGAATAGACGATGGATACTACAGACCACAAACGCAACCCAGAATTTTTTTCTCTTTGGAAAGTGTATCCGATGGATGCCCTGAATTATTTCCACGTGTCTTGACTTACATGGTCCCTTGTTTGAAAATTCTTTTCCTTGGTGATGATGACTGTATGTCGGTGTGTGTTGGCCGCTGGGTCCCGCCGTTCATATGATTCAAGAAACCGAAGTGGACGGGGGTAAGAGTTCGTGTAGGGCTTGACCGTATTGTCGACGGGAAGCCGGGCGTAATTGCTATGGTGTCCTTTTCCGGCTTTTTCCTTTGGATACTCACCACGGTGAAAGTTGTGTAAAGACAGGTGAGTTGATGAAGACCCAACCACCCCGATTTTTCCGGGCAGACCGGGCATGCTCCGAGGCGTTTTCTTTGGTGTAGGGCAGCACCGAACCCGAACTGCCGGGGGTGGGCGTGGCACTTTTTTTTTCTTGCGAAGATCAGCCATGGGTTGGTAGTGTTCTTGGAAGCGACGTCTTCTTCCCCACTTGACGGCCAACGCTTTGTGACTCATTCTTCCTTGTCTAGCTATACTAGCTACCTAGTTAGATGGCTACACTAATATGCAACGATTGCAAAAGTGGGCAAAAGGTCATCATGCATGTTCAAGAAGAGAGAGGGAAGAAGACAGGGCCCGGGGGACCATTGGATCGAGAAACAAAAAGGCGGTCGTGAAACATCCCGGGAGGACGGCTGGGCCAATGGAGCGGTCGCGACACGGGTCTTGGGGTGGTGGTGCTTCCCGATTGGGCGGAGGGCGGATCTGCGGCGCGTCGAGATTGGGCGGCGCGTTGAGGGGAGTGCTTTGATTGGTGAGGAGGGATTTGACTTGGACGGGAAGGGGCACGGGCCACGGGAAGAGGTGGGGGTGTTGTGTGGCGGTACGTACCTGAGAGAAGCGAGAGAGGAAATCGAGGATGAGGCGCTTGAAGATGGAAGTGAGAGGAGGGGAGTAGGGAGGTTAAGCGCCTTGTGCGGCTGTGCAACGGCCGGGGGGAGGATGAAGAGAGAGGCTTGTGGGGTTTGTGCTCAGTGGGAAAAGGTCACGGTGCTCCCATCCCCCGTTAAATGGGACGACGATTGCCGAGATGGTATGGGTGCGAGGTGCGAATCATCGGGCTGGGAAGGGATCTGGGAGACGATGCTTGCCGCCGCACTATATGAGGGCCCGCGGAAGATGATTCTTTTTAATTCATTCAAGACAAGGCTATTGTAATTCAGCGTTGCAGAGGGCGGTTGTTTGGTGAGGCTTAGACATTGCGGAGGCGGGTGAGGTAGGCCTTCGGTGAGAGTGAGAGTGAGACTTGCGCGGCTATATCGTCTTCCGATGACGAAGCGGATGCATTGAGGGGAACGAGGCAGGCGCACATGATCGTCAGCTTCATCGTCGAGGGGCCGACTTCGGGGCTGTCTTTGGGGTCGGGTCGTGAAGGCTGAGGGTGTTACAGAGTGAGACGCTGGGCGGCTGGAAGGCTGCCTCTCTCTCTGTCTTTCAGATGATGGTGAGAGTGCTGACCGATGGACCTGCTGACTGTCGTGAGACCACCCCCGCTTAGCACTTTTCCGTTCCACTATGCTCTGTTGTAAGCGCCGTCCGCCGTGGGACCACCACCGTCCACTTCCAGCCAGGGCCGCCGCCGAGGATCGGGTGTTGTGTAGCCGCCCGGGCGGTTAGCAGAGCGGCTGTTTTAGATTGCGGGCAGGGAAAAGAAACAGCCGACACCCACCCCGCTGCGCATAGATGCTGTCTCGGAAGGAAATGCGACAGGCGCCTGGTAATCTTGGGAGCCGCCTGGCCTTTTCTTTCCCTCGTGTATTTTTTTTTGTTAAGTGCTGGTGTGCCCTGGAGTCGGTCGAGGGCGCGGGTGTCAGGTGAGGCGGAAGGAAATGAGGCGGGCGAGGACGGGAGAGAGGAAGTGTTGAAGGGGATGGGAGGAGGACTGCGAGGTGTGCTGGCAGGCAGAGCACACACACGGGACGGACAGGAAAGACGAGTTGGGAATGCCCTCGCGAGTGAGACGCGGGGGGTGCTGCGGCTGTTCCTCGACGCGACGGACGCTGAAGGGAGCGCAACCGCATCTGATCGCATCGCATCGCATGTCACGGCGACGCATGACATCGCGTCGGATGACGGTCCACGGTCCACGGCTTACTACGAATACACGCATCGCTACCGCGTCTAGGTTCGTCCGTGTCGCCATTTGTTGATGTTGTGTTCGTCCAGTGTGCCACCCCTGTTTCTCGTCTGTGTGGGGGAAGCTAAGGCAGCTCCATCTTTTCTGATAGTGGAGAGAGAGAGAGACAGAAAGGCGCCAAGAGGTTGAGCAGAGAGCTAATGCACGGCCGGGCTAGTCGGTGCCATGTGTCTAAAAATGAGTCATAGCCGCTGTGCAGGGGGTGCAGACGACGGAAGACGCTGTTGTGGACGGTGAGTGGTTGATGCCATACAGTGTCTTGATATTGCCGTTTAAACGGTCACTTTGTATGACATCAACTCGATCAAAGACAGTGTAAACAGTGTCGAATGCAGAGCTCCGCCTCAACGGGGTCTCCACCTTCCCAACCAAGAAACCGCAGTGAGTGACCTCAAGCCAGGCCGTCTCGATGCCCTGATACGCGGCCGACGAACGTCTCTCTTTCTTCGACTGCAGCAGCCATGCAGATGATGGACTTTGCAGCCTCCCACCCCGTGTTTCAGTTTTTTTGCTCTCTCAACGCCTTGGTGGGACCTTTCTTAGTGCAGAAGAGAAGCTGCAGTAGCTCCATCGTCCAGCAGACCGTCGTTGTGTCGTCGTTCGCTCGTGGCTGATCTGCTCCCACACCCCATGTCATTCTCGACGTCTCTTCTGATGCTACGCACGAGAACGACCCAATACGTATCTCTCAATTTTCTGCTCTTTACGTTCTCCCCCGGTCGTCGTATGTCGGTAAGCACAAGACAGAGACGTAGTCGTCCAGGTCTCGGCCCACGATCCGTCCATGGGACCCCGGGAACACCAAGCCGGGCATGCGCAGCCCACCCCCATCGCTGCGTTGTACCAGACCCATTCCCAGTCCCGTCGACCACCAGCACACGCCCTCGTCAAGGGTTCAGCAGGCCCAGCGGTGGCCGCGCGGGTCGTCAAAGTCGCGCACCGCATCGCCATTCCCAGATCCATTGGGCTGCGAGCGAGCCTCACCCGCGAGGATAAAGATGCCCTCCCCTCCCCGCGCCTACTGTTCCCTTTCGTTGGCCCTTCTATCTCTTCATCCTCATCCTCGTTCCTCCTCCTCTCTCCATTTTCTAAAACTCGTCTCCTATTATTGTTTGTTTATGCGACTGCTCTCAATCAATCAAATCTGTTGGAACTCAAGAAAAGGAAATCAAAATACACGTTAGATCTCGGATACTGTGGTCTTGTTGAACGCGGCCCCGGCTTTCTCAACCCCCTGCTTCACGGCAAACCTGCTCTGCATTATTTTTTTGCTCGCCAAAAGAACAACATCTCAAAGACTCTGGAGCTGGCCTCCTCCCCTCTCACGAAACACTCCCCGATAATTCCATAATCGTGTCCCGTCGCAAAGACAAACAACTGAAGCCACAATCACAATGTCCTCGTATGCAACTCCCCCGCCCGCCTCGCTCACTTACACCCATCCTGACGCTCCCCCCAGTCTGGCAGCGGACAACATGTCCTTCGACTTCGTCTTCCCCTCGTGCGAACCCGCAACACCGCCAAGCTTCTCCTTCGACTCCTTCCCCTACGACCTCCCCTACCAGCAGCCCCAGCCGACAACGACAACAACACACTTTGCCGGTGGCCACGCCCGCTCCCGCTCAAACGGCTCCGTCTACTCCTACGTCTCCACCGCCGAGTCCACCCCGGACTCCGTGAGCACCCGCATGACGACCCCGTCCCGCGCGTCCCCGCCCATCCGGCAGCACGGGCCCCTGCTGCTCCCCAAGATCCGCTCCCAGGACCAGGCCATCGAGTCGCCCCCCGCCAAGCGCGCCAGGATATCTCCGAAGCCCCGCACCCCGGCTCCGGCCCCGCGCCGTAGCGTCGTCGCCGCCGCCGCCGCTGCCGCCTTCCGCCCCACCCACGCCCGGAGCTACACCAACCCGGAGACCCTCACCTGGAACATGCCCTCCTCCTTCGTCAGCCAGCCCGAGGAGCCCTCCACCTCTTCCCTCCTCTGCTCCCCCGTCATCTTCGCCGACGACATGCACTCCCGCCGCGCCTCGACCTGCAGCCTGGACGCCCCCGCCCTCGAGAAGTACGGCTTCCCGACCTACCGCCAGATGCCCGCATACGTTCCCGCCGCCGCCTCCCCGGCGCCGCAGCCCGCCGCCCTACCCACCACCGAGGCCTACATGTTCCCCTCCTACACCGCCGCCCCGCGCGCGCCCTCACCGTTGAGCATCGCCTCCACCCCGGACCCGACCCCCAGCACCACCCTCATGTCCTACCTCACCGGCCCCAACCCGGCCCCGTCCCTCGTCCGCACCATCTCCTTCCCCCTCCGCGACCCCAACACCAAGCACTTCTGGTGGGACGTCCGCCAGATCCGCCCCTGGACCGCCTTCAACCTCTCCACCGTGCTCTCCCTCCCCGGCGCCGCCTCCCTCCTCAACTGCCCCGTCCCGGCGCCCCTGCTCCCCCACCCGGCCCCCGCCGCCCGCCACCCCGAGACCGAGGCCGCTCTGCACGCCATCTACGCCTCGCACTACCTCCCCAAGCTCAACGCCGCGCTCGCCATCTCCAGCACTCGCCCCATGCAACTGTCTTCTTCCTCTTCGTCAGGCAAGCAGACCTCAGAGCTGCTCTTCACCGCCTCCCCCGCCGGCGAACCCGCCTCCGCAGCCGCCATCTTCGGCGGCAAGCCCACCGCCCGCGTCGTCGGCCTCGTGCGCTCCTTCGACCGCTTCAACACCGGCATGCGCGTCGAGGGCGCCATCAAGCGCGTCGAGTACCTCCGCGGCCTCGCCGCGCTGCACCACGCCATGCGCGAGCACAGCTGCCGCTACGGCTTCATCCTCACTGAGATCGAGCTCGTGGTCGTCCGCAACGGCCCCGACGCCGTGCCCAACTTTGGCTTCCTCGAGGTCTCCTCCGTGCCGCTCGGCGCGTCTGTGAGTGAGGAGGATGGCGACGTGCCGCTGACGGCGTGCCTGGCGCTCTGGGGCCTGTGCATGATGGCGGGCGATGATGCGCCGCAGGCGAGTGGGCTTGGTGTCGCGCACTGGAAGGCGGAGATTGGTGCGCCCGCGGAGGGGACGAGGAGGAAGGCGCTGCCGAGGGATGAGTGGATGCCGAAGCCGCAGTTGGCGGAGAAGAGGGAGGCCAAGAGGGCGAGAGGGTGGATTATGCCCGAGGACCCTGTTGGACGGAAGGAGCTTGGTAAGAGGGGTGTAAGGTACGGTGCCTGCTAGCAGAGTTGTCTGCTTCGCCTGTTTCTTTATTTGTTTGTTGTTTTATTGTTGTCAAGGGTTTGGCTGGTTCCAATGCCCTCTGTGTTTTATGATGATTGGATTATGGGTTTATGGGAAAAAGATAAAAAGGGTAATGACTTTTGGGTACATATGGGAATGATGATTACGATGTATGACTGGGAAGGGTATACTGTAGATACAAGCTTTTTAGGCACTTGTAATCACCAATCTTTTTGATGTTCAGATATTATTCCTTTTGCGGGTGGCCTCGTGACAAGCCTGAAGCCCCGGCTGCTCTGAGTATGTCGACCTGACTGGTCCAACGCTATCAGTTCGTTTATAAGCAGAGAGGCACCATTCTCCCTCCGCAACCCCGCGACAAATACGCTTCTCTTGCGTTTTTGAGAGTTGTGGTCGGGTACGCGTCAACTTAACCATCGAACATATTACCAACATGTTATATGGTGCATCTTCTCGTGCTTCTGGATATCCTATCTCCTCCCCGTCATCTTCGGAACCTGGCATCGACGTATTCTTACGCAATACATCAAAGACAGGTGCTTTGCTGCGGTTGTCTTAAGTACCTCCCTGCAAAGGCGCGAATGGTACTTGTAGACCGCATTTGGACGGCTCACCGCTGTTCGTCATTATAGTCTCAGAGCGAAGCTGAAGGCATTATCGCCTGGTTTGGAAACAATGTGAAAGAAAGTCTGATGATTCATAGCCATGGGAATCTTGCTGAGACCCGTGGCGAAAGCATCTTCTTGTCACATTCAATGGAGTGCAGCGGCCGTCTTTCTACTGTTTTTATTGCACACAATTGAACTGCAAGTAGAAAAGCATGCAATACCCCGTTCGGCAGGAATATAGGTGGCTTCGCGAGTCTTCTAATAAGATGAAAGGAGAAGAACTGGAAGCTCGGCTAACCCAAACACAGGCAGACTGCAGGTAGGAACGTAACCCATATCTGAGTTTCCTTGGACTGAGTATACTCAACCGGATGAATGACCTTCTTCCATCTTCCTTCGCTATAGTTTCTGACTTATTCCATATCGGTAATGCCGATGCGGTTTGTATCGCACCATCGGATCGTACAGAACAGAGCGGTGAAGAGACGCGACTATGCGTCCATGTGGCAACTTCGAATCCAATGACTTGGCCAATTCAAACCACACCGTCAACGCATTGGCTTGAGAGAATAATTGAAAATCATTCTGCTATTTATATCGCAGAGCTGGAAGCTTCGGTGCCTTCCAAATGACCTGAGAAGCGTTAATGGACAGCATCCTCACCACTGCTAACTTAGCTAGGCCTACCCGGTTGTATCACACGACGGACTATTTGATGGTGTGCTCTTCCCTCATTTCCCAGCCTTAGACAAATGGAGTTGAGTCAACTATTGTGTGCAGCTCCGACCGAAGTAGCAAGTCGTTTATGAGCGAAGTTCTGGCACAAAGTCGGGAAGACTGCGTGAACGATGTCTTTCATGTTAAGATGTGCTTGCTTCTTCATTACACAGACGTAAGTGTCCATCTTACCTGCTGCCTTCGGTGTGTTTCCCTCTGAATACTGATCATGGACAACGTTGATGGAGCCTCGCGCATACATCACCCGTATCTGCTGGCGTCGCCTTTCACGCATGGGAGGAGGAATCTTCGCTAGCTTTAAAGTCCCTGCTATGGTTCCCGACATTCTTCCAATCGGTGAGGCCCAAATGCGCAGAATGTAATTGCGCCAAAGATTTGACAGCTCACCTCTCAACGCCATTTATATGATTGGCTTTTAGCTGCCAGGCATCTTCCTATGTAATCAGGAGGTCTGAAACCTGGAACGTGCCTTGTCTCTAGCAAACTTTGGTAGACTGGCGGTGGTGATTGCGTGACCAGGCTGAACGCCCGTGATGTCATGAATGGATCACCTGGAAGGCTTCAAAGCACGCCACAGACACTTCATCCGTCGCCGGGATGCAATCGACGTTGTTCCATCGTTTGATTCGGTAATATCCCGCATCATCCTGTGTCGTTCCCGTCTGGAAGGTATTTGTTAGGAGTAAGGCGTGAGAGACTTTGTAGTAGTCATGAACAACCCTGGGCAATGCAGTCGGTACTGTGTCGGTGCACCGCTACTTCAGACACCAATATCCAGTTCGCGCGGTGATGATCTTGGCAAAGTCGCCATACTGCATACACCATATAGTTTCGTCTCGTCCACGGTTCTTCTGCTCTGTCGTCCACGTATGAAAGTTGAATAAGGCGCAGACATTGATGAAAGCATGCCTGTGGTCACCAGGATCGAATATGGCTGCCGAGAGCTGCCCAGTAGAGGGGCTCAGATCTGCATGAAACGAAACGTTGCGACCCTCTATGAGGAAATCAGAAGCGAATTCCGAGTAGCGTTAAATTTTTCGCTTCGAGAATCCAAGATCTAGACGTCTCCATGATTCTCTTATATTTCCCTAGCTCAAAACATGGGAAGAAATCGCTCCGTCGGCTAGTGGAACTGTGGCAGATACAACACAGCCAACAGGTGACCTGGGAGTATAAATACCCCGTCATTATCGTACTGAAGAACCGCCAAACAAATGTAGGGAAGAGGAGTTTTGAAACATTGCTTGCTGTAAGCGCATCATTGCCTAGGTACTGATTAGAAGCACGCGCAGCACTGGTTCTTTTCAAGAACATCCATCGTATTCTTGAATACCTATGGTAGAAGCACTTCTAGTATCTAGCTACCCTCCTATCGCTGAATTATCCGTCTCTCAACGTACGCGCCGTTATGGCGAGGTGTTGGCCAAGTACTCAACGTCCGAGGTCAAGCAGAAAACTTGTCTTGTTCGCCAGGCACGTTGCAGCGGCTGAATTTATCTTTCCACTTATCTCGTAAGCAACTCCTTCGGCGCCTTGCACGTCTTCGTCATAGCCATCAGACTGATGCAGGGCGCACAGCTGGTGTTATCATGCCAGCTGAGAACATCAGCACATGTTGGATGTTGGGATGAAATTGGTATTGATCTCCAAAGCTCGGCATGGTGGTCGCTTCTGGTGTGGTCAAGCTTTCCGAATGGCAGGGGTGAGCTTGGTTGTCAGAGCCGTCCCATCGACAAGAGCACAGTCTCATCAAATTCGTTGGAAACGAGAGCGATCCGGCTTCCGAGAGTCATTACTGCGGGTGACTTGCATGAAAAGTCAAACGTGTCGCACGTGCTATTGCTCACTCATCGTCACCCAGACCTCACGATGCGTGGTTTTCAGCTTCAACACGCAGTCGAATTTTAATAAGCCATGCGTCCGCCGGCTGTCAAAATTGCGGACAGATATCGGTAATCTATTCACCTCTTGACACCTGCAACGCAATACATACACAAATGAAGCTCCTCGAAATTCTCGTGTTGACGGCCTTGGCGCTGACAGCGTCGGCCACTCCCGTCGGTAAGCTTCACCAGTTTCCCAATGAGTCGCGCGTGGATGGAAAGAGATCATTATAGTTTTTGAAAAAGCCACATAGATGCAAAGTTCCAACTACTAGAACCTCTCTGACCAGGACTGTAGACCTACAACTTGACAACTCATTGGTACCCAGGGCTGAGATATGCCAGTGGTTCGGCGAAGCCCCATTCTGCAATGCAAAATGTCCCGACGGATGGAAGAAGGAGGGGCAAGATGACAAGGGGGGAGGTCATTCTTGCGTGACTGGAAAGAAGTTCTTCTGTTGCTTCAAGACCGACGACAATGGCAAGGGCAGTGGTAAGCAAGGGGCGTGAGGATGCAATCATTGGATGCCGAGTCTTTTTCTACTATGTATCGATACAAGCTATTTCGCACTTTGTCTTGAGTCTGCCGAGAGCTGTGGTCGAGAGCTTAGTCTCAGTGACATCAGGTGGTCACCTTCTCCCCAGGAACGCGGGTTTTGTGCCCCCGATTAGTGTGCGGCAAAACAGATTCCTCTAGCCTGAAAATAATGAATATATTAGAGCCTACGGCTCTGGAAAGCTACTCCCAACCAATGTACGGCCTCAACAGGAGATCATCTCTGCCAAAGTGTTGGCATCGGCAAACATGAATGACAGATTCATCCCAGAAATCATGAAGATTGCATAGTAGCGAATGTTGTGGAGGCTTGTGTCATCACGCGCGGCATTCTGGCTGATATTCCTGTTTTCTCATCCAAACAGACTACTACGTAGTAGAAAGTCATGATACTCCGAGAAAATCTGAAACGGGACACGCCAAGCGCATACCTCGCCATCTTCTGAGGTCTGAATTTGTCACTGTGAGGGACCCAAGTGATGGCCCCCGCACCCACTGGAGCACAAGTACGGCAGTTTGTTCAAGTCCATTACAGAGCAAAATGTGAGAACCATGAACCTGGAGCTGGTACTGTACCCCTTTTCAAGGTTTCAGCGGTTCGCTGAGCCTAGTCTTGTGACAAGGTCTACTACGTCTATTCCATGTCTGAACGAAGTTGACAGGTTCTTGGTGAAACAACATTAGTTCTCGCGATATCGTTTTCCAAGACATCACTACCCCTTAAGGTTACGTAGGCTGGCGGTGCACCGCACGGGATGCAATAGATACCCCGGCATCTAATCTTGGCACCTGTCATTTTTTTAACCCGCTTGGGGCCTTCCCGGCCTCTGAATCGGTGGTAGCTCTGCGGGGCGATCTCGGAGGACAGGGTTATCGTCAAATTAGTCCGGCTTTCACGATGCCGCTTCTCGACTTGCTTTGATATCGTCTTCAGCTGCCACTCAGTATCTTTTGAAAAATGACCAGCTAGCATCGCCATACACAAATGCTAACCATTTTTTAGCACTGAGATTTTCGATCAAGGGCACAGACACTTTTCGAAAAAAAAAATATGCTGAAGTATTCCAAGCGAAGCCATCAAGACGAAGCTGTTCGGCCAGTTTCAAAAATTCCTGCTGTTGTGGCCAGGGGCTGAAGGGCATTTTACTCCGCCACGTGCTTGCGGACCTGATAAGCCCGTTTCCGCACCCGAAC